GAGGAGGGTGTGCGCGCTCTGGCTGGTGGCAGGTACCAGGGCTCCCCGCAAGGCAGCCTCAGCACCCAGCTGCGCTACCTGGGGCTGTTGGACTGCGTTTAGATGTGTGCAGAGGGATCTGAGAGGAGGTGTTGTGACAGGCAGGATGCAAAAAAGGCTTCAAAACCCCTGCCCCAGGTGGTTGCAATATTCTTTATATTCTGCTGTATTCTTCTATTCTTCCCTGCAAACAAAGGAGACTAAAAGAGGGATAGATGGACCTGGGGTCTGATCCAGCACAGTGACTTATTGTGGGTGCTCATGGACACCACAGTCGTGCTCTTTCCCACAGAGAGCAGCAAAAGTGCTTGGATGCTGGGAAAGGGTCAGGCATGTGGTCGCAGTGGAAAACTGCAGTGTGACCTCCTGGGCAGGTACCTGTGCTATCAGGGCAGTCCTTGCAGTGAGGTGGAGGGAAGGCATCAAAGGTCTCGCAGCGATGGTGTGCTCCCTGCTAACTGTCCGTCCTGTGTGTGTTGCAGTGCCCAGTGCCCCACCGCGAAAGGTGGAGGTGGAGTCCGTGAATTCGACTGCCATCCGGGTGAGCTGGAAGCTGCCCATCTCCAACAAGCAGCACGGGCAGATCCGCGGGTACCAGGTCACCTACGTGAAGCTGGAAAACAATGAGCCCCGAGGGCAGCCGGTGATCAAGGACGTCATGCTGTCGGAAGCACAGGTACAGTGTGGGGACCGCAGGGTGGTGGGCACGGCACCTTCCCTCTCCATAGAGGGCCAGGCTGGCTGGATCCAAGCGTTTCTTGGCCTCCTCTCATGGGTCTCAGCTCTGCCTGAGCAAGGTGAACAGTTTATCCCTAAACTGTGGCTTACAAATGGGTAAAAAGTTCAATCAGGAAAGGGTTGCTGTAGGAAAGATGGTGTATTGAATGGTGCTCCTCTCTTACTCCTTCTCCAACATGTACCTCTCCACCTGCCATGTCCTGTGCAGACTCCAGCAGTAGCAAATTGTGTTTTGCCAGTCAGGTTATAAACCATCGGAGAGTTTTAAATAAGGCTTGAGTCTGCTTCGTCTGTGATGCTGACTGTGTGTAGGGTGAAGCTTCTCTCTCTCAGCAGAGTCCACCAAGGTGCTGCCTGCTTGTAGGGCACGGGGGTGGCTCTGCACCGTTGGATGGGCACAGCACACAGTGTACAGGACAGGACAGCCCTCCTGTGCCTCAGCAAAGCCTCCCTTCCCTCCTGCTTTTGCAAGGCAGGGACTTGGCCTTGCATTGCCTCTTGAAACCAAACTAGGTGAAGCCAACTGGGTCTGGGTAGGGCTGGGGTAGGGGGGAAGCAAGGTACAGGCCCACATTGCCTGTGAGAAACTTTGCCCTCTGCAATTCCTACAACAGCCTGCTCATGTTTATGCCGTCTCCTGGATACCTCAGGGGCTGTGAGCTGAGGCCCTGTTCCCACACAGCGCTCCAGGTATGGTTACACTCTCTGCTCAGCCCAGCAACACAGAGTTGCCTCCTTCCTAGGGTCCAGGGAGGTTTTTGGTGCTCTGTCTGTGCTGAAACACAACTTCTCTTTGGAGCAAGGGCCCTTGGTCCTGGATGACCCGTGCTGTTCTCAACAAAGATAATCGTATAAATGAAGTACAGGATCTGCTGCTGTTGGAAGCGACGAGTAATCGATTCCGAGCTGGCTTGCTTGAATGATGCCCAATATAAATACTGGAGAGCTGCAACGATTAATTGATCTGCCTCCTGAATGCAGCTGTGAATCATTTATACGTGTGTCAGCGGGGAGTGCAGTGCACGGAAGTAGCTTTACTCCCCATTCATATTCTGAAGGCTAAAACTCAGTAATAATGTGAAAAGGGGGAAACTTTAAAGAGAGAAAATGCTTTGAGGGACCTTGCAGTGTTGTCTGGGGCACGTCTCTGTTTATGTTTCAGATGTTGCCTTATTTTAATCGTTAGAAAAGCTGCTTCCTGCCCTTTACTTATTCCAGGAGGATATAATCTTCTGTGTTGTTTGAACAATTGATGCTGTGTTGTTCAGCTGGAGGTTGGAGTTAATGGGTTGGTCCCAAGCGCAGGTGGGCGAAGTTGGCAATGCTGTTCTTGGTGTTTTCAAATATTTTACGCTTGCCCAGCCAGTTCTGCTTTCACTCCTTACTCATCCATTTCAGAGAAAGAAAACCCCATGCTAATGTGCAGGAACGAGGATGCCAGAGCCAGAAACTTTCCAAGCATTTTGCATTATTTTGAATGTGTGCATCAAGGAGGCAAGTTGCTTGAAGTTTCCTGGCCTGTCAGACCGCTTACCAGTCCTTTGTATTTGGTGAATTGATGTGGGAAAGCTCTTGATGGCTGTGATTTCTTTTTTCCTGGCATGTATGGTCCCAGGCTCATCCACTGTAATCTTGGAATGAAAGTGCAGGCCAAAAGATAGTTGCAGAGAAGTGACTGCTCTGGAGGAGTCATTGCCAGTCTTGGGATAAACTGATGATGACCCTGCAGGGAAGAGGCTTCACTGACTTGGCAGAAGAGATCTTTATTTCCCAAAAGAGTGAGAAGCCAAGCATGACCCGTGCTTGTGATGAAATACATCTGCTCCAGAAGCTGAGGAACCCTGTAAGAGCTGCCATCTTTCAGTACAGCAGCGCGTGTCTTTGCAAGCAGCCAGCTCCAACTTTAACGAGTGGTCTTGGAGGAGTTATTTTCTATAGAAGAAGACAAAGAAGATTCACTGGAACTCCTGTCCCTGAAGGTCACAGGATGAAGATGGCTAGAATATAGCCGCAGTTCAGCGCTCATAAACATTCATAAACATTTATGCCAGTGCACAGGGAGAGAATTAAACTGATTGAAGCTCTGGGGTCAGGGAAGAAATTCTCTGGGCATGTAGGCAGAGAGCCCCTCTTCTGCCTAGCCAGGTTGTTTGGTGATTTTGAGGAGGTACATACCACGTAATCTGCTTCTTGCACATGGTATGAAGACACTAGTATTAAAGCTGACTCAGGATTTTTTGCTGATTGAAGATGAGAAATTCAGAGAGTAAACGAAGATGAAAGGAAAAAGGAAAGGGAATGGAGATGTTAGCTGTGCAGATAATATAGATTCTGAGTTTTCAAAACCATTTGAGCAGGAAGGACTAAACCATCAGCAGAGTAGTGGGGGATCACATTTTATTTTACAGCCTCCTGCCTAGGGAGAGTAACCGGGTGTTTGGAAGGTCCTGTGATGGAGCTGAGGCCTCTCCCTCCCCTCTGTGGCTGTACCTGTGACTGATTACCTCCGTCAGAGTTCTCTGTGCCTTCCAGTCTGAGCCATCACCTCCTACCAACAGACTGATGGACAAGCAATTGTGACTGTGCCGTGTGGAGGAGCACCCAGTGACAGCGATGGTATCGGTGCAGAGCTGGGTCACATACCCACACCACCTCCTGCGCAGGCCCTGCCCATCGTGGCTCAGTCAGGTCCCGTGGTGGGTGATGGCAGAAGATTAATTCCTGTGCCCTGGGTCTCCTTTCCCTCCTGCTGCAGGCAATGCAGGTTCCTGGCTCTGTGTGCAAGGCATCCTGGCACTGAGAGAGCATTTGATAGGAGCAGGAGCACCGGTAAAGGCTCTTGGCTGTGGCCCATCACTCTTGTATGCATCCTCACTGGCTTAAGGGAACAGGGGATAGCAGGGCCATGGGGCACAAGCATTAGGTTATTTAGGGCAGGGCAGGAGCCCACTTGCTTTCACAGAATCACAGAACATTAGGGATTGGAAGGGACCTCAAAAGCTCATCCAGTCCAACCCCCCTGCCGGAGCAGGAACACCCAGATGAGGTTACACAGGAAGGCGTCCAGGCGGATTTTGAATGTCTGCAGAGAAGGAGACTCCACAACCTCTCTGGGCAGCCTGGGCCAGGGCTCTGTCACCCTCACTGAGAAGAAGTTTCTTCTCCAATTGAAGTGGAACCTCCTGTGTTCCAGTTTGTGTCCGTTACCCCTTGTCCTATCATTGTTTGTCACCGAGAAGAGCCTGGCTCCATCCTCGTGACACTCACCCTTTAAATATTTATAAACATGAATGAGGTCTCCCCTCAGTCTCCTCTTCTGCAAACTAAAGAGCCCCAGCTCCCTCAGCCGCTCCTCAGAAGGGAGATGCTCCACTCCCTTGATCATCTTTGTAGCCCTACGCTGGACTCTCTCCAGCAGTTCCTGTCCTTCTTGAACTGAGGAGCCCAGAACTGGACGCAATATTCCAGATGCGGTCTCAGTTTTGTTTTGTTTTCCCAGTTTTGTTCTTGTTTGCTCTCTCCAAGACAGGCAGCTGGACCCTGCGTGAATCTAGGCGTTGATCCATTGTGTCCTGCTCCCAGTCTGCTTGTCCTCAGTCCAGACTGGGATGTCTTGAGGGGCCTTTCTCCCCATTCTGCCACATGGCACCAACAGCTGCTTCTGCCCTTCACTGGGCAGCGTTTTTGCCAGGGAGCCTCCTGCCTGCATCGCTCTGGGGATGTGATGTGCACATTGGCCTCACTGCTTACAGCCCTCTGCAGATCCGGGGCCTGCCCAGAGAGCTTTGCAGCTTGTGCTGGTGGGAGCTGGCTGGGTACAGCTGGGTACAAGGAGGTCAGGCTTTGCAGAGGTCTCCTGCCACCTCCTCCTCCTGCTCTGCAAACAAAGTCATGGCCGGGGAGAGGTTTGCTGCCCATGAGAAGGGCTGCAGGCTCACAGGAAGATTGCGTGGCAGCAATTCTCCATCCAGCATGAACACTGAGTGCACGGCCCACCAACTTGCTTCAGAAGAGCAGAAAGAAGTAACAGCAAGCACTTCAAGCTGCTGGATTGAGATCAAAGGAAGAAGGGGAAGCAGAGACTCCTGTTCTCCCTGGGCAGTGCCCACCCCAGGCACAAACCAGAGGAATTTACAGCCTCCCTCTCTGGCAGGGTGACAGTCAAGGATCTTTATCAGCATCTGCTTGGAGCAACTCCTCGTGCATGTGTATTCATCCGGGTAAGAGTCTGGCAGGAAGGTGAGATGTACCCTGCTCCGTGAGTGGAACAAAACGGAAAGGCACCATCCAAGGGGCATTTCAGTAGTGGACAGAGATGAAGTTCTGGTGTCCTCGGAGCCCTCCGCATCCCACAGGCTGAGTTTACATCTGGCGTTTCACTGTTGCACCGCAGTCACTGAAGCAGAGAGAAGGAGGATCAGCAGGAAAACCCCAATATCCGCTTCCCATAACAGAGGCTGTTTAGGAGGGCTTGCGTCTGTCTTTTGCAAGAGCCATGGTCAGGGAAAACAGTCATTCCCTTGTGAGACATGACTACGCTGTGCGGTGTTGAAGTGTAAAATGAAACGTTAAAGCATTGCAGCTGCCATAAATACACACTGTTGGCTTTAGCACTTCCCTGAGCCATCCTGCCTCATCCGCACGGCACTGTCTGAGCTCTTTTTATGACAGCTTCTGGGCTTTTCAGATCAATTTGTCTTACTGACCAACCTTAAACAGTTAAGAAGCAATTGAGCTAGTTGAAGGAAGGAAATGTTGTGATCTGCAGATGATGTTTTCATAATGACATTGAATTTATACCAGGGTATTTATGCAGGCCTGGCTTTTCGCTGGTATTCCTCCAGCACAGATCTCAAGGCGTTTCTTTACGCTCTTATCTGATGCAAGATTAAAGTCCTCTGCAACATAAGAGCAAACAGCATCGGAACATTAAACGCTTGCTCTATAATCCGAACGAGCGATAAACTCCCAGCAGTGGTGTGAGGGGCTGTGAGATGCGGTTGCCTCCTGAGCCCATTGCAGTAAGGTGTCACCTTCTGCTCCTGCAGCTACACAGAGGCTGTTACCATCCACATGGCCCCATCCAGCAGGGACGTGGTGTGCAGCAGAGGTGTTCTTCTAGGGGAGCGAGCTGCTCATACCCTTCCTGTAGCAAGACTTTGGCCAGGTTTTAGATCAGCAAGGTGCTCTGCGGCTGTCGACCACCGTGTGGGCTGGCTGGTGCAGGTAGGGCAGCAACAGCAAGGACCTGGGTTGAGCTAAGCACACAACACTGGAAATAACACCAAGATGTGTGTGGAAAGAGGGCATTTAGTGAGCACAATACATAGTGAGGGCCTTGGCTTTATAGGAAATCTTTAGGGACAACTTGACCTCTTTGCTGAAATTAAATTTTAAGATGTTTTAGGGGGATAATTCTACTGCGGTCTCATGGCATCAAATCAGTGAACTATATCTTAGTGGGCCGTTTCTCCAATAGGTGCTTCTTTCTGAATTTAGAGGATAAAATAACAAATATTTTGAAGGTATGCCGTGTATTTTACTGCTGAGGAGAGCACCTTGCTGCTGTGATAAGCTGCAGCCTGGGTGAGCCACCTCAAACAGCCTGAGCACAAGAAGCAGCGTGCAGCTTTAATACCATTGAGTACTTCTGCAGCACTTGCAGGTTCCTGGGCACTTCAGCAGCATTTGCTGGGCTTCTCAGTGTCCTGAGGAAGTTGGTATCTGAGCTCCATTTCACAGCTGGCAGCTCAGGCTCAGAAGTAAGGCTTGCAAGGCGCACGCTGTGAGTCAGGGGCAATAATACCCATCTTCCACTTTAATCTCTGCTCAAACCCATTGACCGGTGCTTCCTGCAGGCAGATTTAGTAACCTCAGATGTAACACATCACCTTGGCTGGGAGAGCTCGCTGTGATCTCCGCAGACCTTGCCTTGGTGCGCCAGCTACAAAGAGCAGTGCTACGGGCATGCGTGGCAGCAGCCAAGACCTGCTAAACCTCACCACCTTCGTACAGTTTTGATGCCTTAGAACCCCAAATCCAGCCAGAGACCTGTGCATCCCTTCTTCAGAGCCCTAATTTGGGAACACGCGTGAACTTTAGCTGGGAAATGATTTGTGTAGAAGCCTTACCTGCAGGGCTGCTCTGGCCAAATGAGTGTTTGCCATTTGGTGTTGTGTAAGTGGGAGTGAGGAGCTATTTCCTCACCACCTGCACCAGTTTGAGCCTTGCTCCAAGCCAATGCAGCGCTGTTGGAGAGGAGCATCTTAGTGTGGAGCTCTAGGTAGGATCTCAACCTCTCTTGCAGTGTCCACAAGAGACAGCGCTTCTCGGTTTTCCTTCTTTCTTTCTTCTTGTGAATGATAAAGAGAAGCTCTGTAAATGGTGCATTGGTGCTTCCCTGCAGAGAGTTCCCTCTGAGTTTTGTGCATTGAAGTCTTTGGCTCTCAACAGGAGAGGATCACTAGGAGAGAAACTGGAGGTTAGGCCAGAAAACTGCTGTGAGTGGCTGGTGGGGCAGCAGTCAGCCCCAGAGCCGTGTTGGTACAAGCTGTCCCTTCTTGCTTCTGCTCGTGGAAGAGGCAGAAAAGCGCAAAGGAAGCCAGAAGGGGAGAGGGCTGCAGAGTTAGGAAGTGGTGACCTCTCCATCTGTATGAGAAGGAAGCTTTTTGCCTCTGTTGGTGTGAATGATCTCAGACCTCCCGCGCAGGCTAGCAGCATGTAGAAGATTGCTCTGTGCCATTTCTTCCCTTGGCACAGCCTGTGCCAGGTGACCCTCTGTGTTATAAGTGTTGTAATCCCCCCCAACCCAATCCTGCTAACCCCTGCTGTTGTCGTCGTCGTCATCCCCTTCCTACACGTTGCCCCTTAAAATTCTGTGTCTCCATTTTTCTCTCCTCCTTCCTTTCTCCCCCGTCAGTGGCGAGCTGAGGACTCCGTCGACCACGTAAGTACCACTTGTGTGTATTCCAGGTTGGAAAAGAGGGGTTTGGTAAATCGATCTGTGAATTTTGTAGACACAGCGCTGTCAGAACATCCTTTTCACTCCCTTAATGAGGCTGGAGAGTTACATTGTGAAACCTTCCGCAAGCAGCAAATCCAGAGAAAATTGGGATTTAGATTGCTGCTAAATGCAGAAAAGCAATTGACATTTCCTAGAATCTGTTTTTCCAGCTTGTTGCAGTGCAGTTTTAGGCAGGCTCAAGTGATCGACTCAGGAGGTGCATCCTACTTTCTGCAGTAGAGTTACATGGCAAAATCAGATATCTAATCTTTAAACCACATTGATCGTAGTTATGAAAAATAACCTACACTCTCAACTGTGACCTTTGGCTGCAACACAGATAGGTAATAAGAAAACAATCACATTGAAGCAGTTAAATCCAATTTTCCCCACATAATTCTGAGATACAAATTTGGAGGAACAAACTCGAAAACTACCTTTTTAGAGTCAGCAATTCAATTACGGGCCCTGCTGGGAGCTTCCCCTGCACGACAGACGCCTCTCCTCCTGCTTTACACGGAGGATTCTCGCTCGGAGTGGCTTAACAATCACATTGAAGCAGTTAAATCCAATTTTCCCCACATAATTCTGAGATACAAATTTGGAGGAACAAACTCGAAAACTACCTTTTTAGAGTCAGCAATTCAATTACGGGCCCTGCTGGGAGCTTCCCCTGCACGACAGACACCTCTCCTGCTTTACACGGAGGATTCTCGCTCAGAGTGGCTTTGTCATGCCAGCGCTGTGTTTACATTATGCAATCAGACCTTCTTTCATCCATCCCTCGTCTCTCTCCCCGCCTCCCAGCTCGCTTGCTTGGCTCCCGGTGGCATGCTTTTTTGCGTGAGAATTTCTCTTTGCATGGATTTGGGAAGAGTGAATCCTCTTGGGGCGTTCAGAATCTGCAGGTTTTTGTGTGAGTGCTTCCCCCCGCGGGTCCATTGGCACCGGTCGGACTGTGCGGCCGCTCGCCCGCACACACGATCCTGCTGCAGGGGCGGAGTTGGGATCAGACTCTGGTTCACACGGTGATTTTGGCGGGGTTCTTGTTGGTGCTTGTCGATTTTTCTCTGGGCTGGCTGGTTCCGCGATGGTAACACGGTGATTTTGATGAGTAAGTCTGGGCAGGTAACCTGAACCAGCAGCACTGACTGGAAATCAGCAGGTTTAATAGCGTGGGTGTTTGTGCGAGTGAGTGATGGGAAACTGGCTGAGCTCTGAGAGCAACCACAGGCGCCCCTCGTACCCCTCAAGCTGGCAAGGATCCCCCAGGCAGAGATCAGACCCTTGGAGCAGCCTCTGAGTGTGCCCATGCAGCCTGTCCTCAGACTTGAGCTTAACCCTCTCCATCTCTGCTCCTCTTCTTGTCTGAAAGGGTAAATAACCAACGCAGAGCCTCTGCCTCCTTTCCAGAAGCTTCCCCAGCCCCTTCTCCAGCCCAGTTGTCTCTTGCTCCCTGACCTGATGGGTTCTTAGTGCTAATGGCCCCGGTCCCTTTCACAGCATCCACAGATGAATGCCGTTCGGGGGTACCTTCCCTGGGCTCGCTGGGAGCTGCTGAGCTCGCTGTGCTTGCTCGTTTGCAGGCCTGGCCAGCCCGGCTTGGCACAAATCACGTTGCTGCTGGGGGCCAGGAGGGAGGAGCAGTGCTCCCCTCTTTGATCTCACATTGAAGTGCGGAGCCATGCCCTCCTCCTGCCCAGAGAAAGCCAGAGCATGCAAGGGCGCTAGCAGCCTGCCAAGCCCGCCCTCCTCCCAGACCTCCCACGGCGCAGGGTTTTCCCTCCAGGTCTTGCCAACGCCTTGCGCTGACCCTATCCCATCCCTACAACACCGCGCCTGGCAGGGAGGGTGAATGCGGTGCTGCAGGTGCTCCTTCCCCAGGGCCCCGCGCCTGGCATTGCCGTGCTGCTGTCTGCGTTGCCTCTCTGCGCTCCCTGCGGCTCTGCTGCCAGAGACAGCTTTAAAAATCCCCAAATTAGCCCCCACGAGGTTTCCGCAGCCAGCTGAACTGGCTTTTGCTCTGGTTCACAGCTCCACAGTCCTCTTACTCTCAGGCTTGCTGTGGCAGGCTTCACAGAGGACCATCTCTGGAGCAGATCTCCCTCTTGGCAGGAGCTGTGGGAGAGCACAGCTGCTGGCACACGTTGCTGGTGGGTCCCTGGAAAAGCCAAGTGTAGGCAGGGGTCGAAATTAGGCAGGTGAGTGTTGGAGTGGCAGCGACTGTTGTTTGCTGGCTCCATGCAAGATGTGTGTGCATGAGTGTGATGCATGAGCGTGAGCCAGCGAGCGTGTTGGTGTGTTGCTGTTGGAGATGCTGAACCCAGTGCCCTCCCTTTGCTCACTCCAGTAACACTTATTTGCTCTTCTCGTTTGCTTCTTCTCCGCCGCATGGATGTGCTCCCAGGAGACGGTGATCGGAGGCCTGCTGCCAGAAACCACCTACTCCGTCACAGTCGCTGCCTACACCACCAAAGGAGATGGTGCCCGCAGCAAACCGAAAGTCATCACCACCACAGGGGCAGGTGAGTGTGGGGAGCGGATCCCACAGCCTCCTAGGGGTGGTGGTAAAACCTCCCAAGAGGTGCATGGGGAGTATGGCCGAGGCACCTGTACAGGAGGAAGCCAGAGGGCTGGAGACGCTGTAAGGTACAGACTCTTGTGATCTCCAGCCCCTCACTCACAGGCTTTGCCACTGGACCACCTGAGCAAAGTGCAGCAAACAGATGGACAGACGCTGCCAGGGCCCGTGAGAGGGCAGTGAAACTCAAGGGTCTGAGCTCATCTGCATAGTCCAGAGACCTGGGAAGAGGAAGCCTGAAAGTGCAGGCCCTCCCTCAGCTTCGGAGTCATGGCCTGTCCTCACCTTGTTCCCATAGGCGAGTGCCATTTCTTGCTTTCTGTGGTGACTGCAGTGCCGCCTGGGATGGCCCCTGCCACAGAGGGCTCCTCGGAGGGGCTTCTCAGCTCCTCCCCTGGCCGTTGCTACTGCTGCCTCCCCAGGCTTCCATAGCTGACCCCGGCTGCTCCTAGAGCCATGGTAAAATGTGGAATGCAACAAATCCTGCCATGGGAGTGCTGTGGACACGACTTCTAGGTCCTGGTGATCCCAGCCAGTTCGGTTCTGCTGTCTCAGTAGAGACTCGTTCCCCGTGCCTATTGCAACACAGCCTGGAGCAGGGGCACCCAGGAGCTCATCAGGTGTTTTCCTCCGGATGCAGTCACGCTTAACCTTTGGCGGTGGCACCAACTAGTTGACATTGGCTTGTCCTCGATTTCCACTCACTAGACCTGTCCTACAGCTGGTAATCCCGCTGCTTCTCACACGGGCAGCAGGAGCAGTATTTACCACTTGTTATTATGGGAATGCAGCTTGTGCAAACCGAGAGCGTTTTGTTCCTGGTGCTTTTAAACAAGGAACAGCTTGCCGTCTCCTCCGCGCTGCATGTGGGGAGCTCCAGAGGTAGTTTCCACTGTCACAGTCTCAAATGCTGTCTCCCTTGTGCCTCGCCATGATGTACGCTCTGTTCATCAAATTGCTACAGCTGTCCTATAAACAGGAAAAGCTTCCTAAACATCCCAGTGTTGCACTGAAAACCACAGTGGGTCTTCCCATGTTATGATGCACTTTTAAAGTTAATATTTGAGATCTGCTTTGAAAATAATATGTCCCTTAATACTAGCTGCTGTTAGAGATTGTATTATGAGTGCAAGGAGTGTGGCACTGACAGTGAAAATGTAATTGCATGTCTTAAATACCTACAAAACCACCCCCAGAGCTGCTTGTGTACGGGCTCGTCTGCAGGCTTGACCTCAAAGGGGAGTGTTGGTATCGCCCTCTGATGGCAAAATCGAGGCATAATTCTGTCAAATGCGTTGTGCTCTGTGCTCATCTGTGGGCTCATACATTTCAAAACGGTGCAAGGATATTTAACTGGGTTTGGCTACAATCCCATTTTCGTTCTCATGTCAATGGCCCCGTCCCTTTGAGTCTGGGTATCTTCCCTATCAGTTGATTTGTTTACAAATCTGAGCTGATCTGAAGTGAAGACGCATCCTTTTTTTAACTGAAGGAGATCAAGGTATTAAACCATCAGTTTAAAGCCATCAGTTCCTAACCAGTGACGGCAACACCCCTTGACTTGTGCAGCATAAGCAAAAATCCTGTGGAACGCTTGTGTTCACCTCTCACATCGACACTGACATCACGAATCTGCTCCTCAGCTAAACCAAAATGCATTCTGATGGCAAACAGCCCGCCCAGCTCTGCTCACTGCCTCTGCAGATGGTAAAACTGCAAGGTTTCAGGATGAAATTTGTCTGCCTTCAGACAGATCAGGGCGCTGGACTCGGGCTTCTGTGTGTCTGTGGTGGTCCAGTGCACCGGGGCCGGCGTGGCCTGGTGCTGTGCACTGGCCGGAGTGTCTGAAGACCACTGGTTGGCAGGACGGGATTCAGATCTTCTCTGGTGCTTTGAGGTACCTTAAACATTTCCTGTAAGAGGGGGCTGGATATGGCGGAATTTAGTCCCTGTTTAGATGGCAGCACATGGGAGAATGGCAGCCAAGGGCTGGCTGGCTCCAGCTTCCCTCGCCACCGGATTGGGGTCGGTCTGCCTCTATCCATGTGAATTGTCTGTCATCCTCTTCACCCTGTTGTCTGAACTTTCCCACTTTCCTCAATCCTCACGGACTGAGCAGCACGGAAGCGGGTCCTTCCTTCCCCTCCTCCCAGGCTATAGATGGTCATTGTGTGTTTATGTTGCAGTCCCGGGGAAGCCCACCATGATGATTAGCACGACAGCCATGAACACAGCCCTCATCCAGTGGCACCCACCCAAGGAGATGGTAGGGGAGCTGCTGGGTTACCGGCTGCAGTACAGACGCCTTGATGAGGAAAAGATGAACACGATAGACTTCGGGAAGAGAGACCATCACTACACCGTGACCAACCTGCACAAGGGGGCCACATACCTCTTCAAATTGTCTGCCAAGAACAGAGCTGGCCCAGGAGAGGAGTTTGAGAAGGAGATCACTACGGCGGAAGACGTGCCGAGCGGTTTCCCGCAAAACCTGCGCGTGGTGGGGCTCACCACTTCCACCACAGAGGTCGCGTGGGACCCCCCGGTCTTGGCAGAGAGAAACGGCAAGATCGTCAACTACACAGTGGTATACAGGGACATAAATAGCCAGCAGGACCTGGTTAACATCACCAAGGACACAAGTATCACTTTGACGAATTTGAAGCCCGATACCACTTACGACATCAAAGTGAGGGCCCGCACCAATAAGGGGGTTGGGCCGCTCAGCCCCAGCATCCAGTCCCGGACCATGCCTGTTGAGCAAGGTAAGTGCCCCTCTAACGAGCCCTAACAGCAAGCTCAGCCTCCAGGACAGGGACCTTTGCTTCGGTTCATGAGGCTACGCTCCCCTTTGCTCTTGACTAATGAGATCAGGTACTGTGTGGCTCCCTAGACTAACACTAGTTCAGCGAGGGAAGGCTCAAGGAAGGTTTCCTTAAAGTTGCCATTTGGGAGAAGAGGGCCTTTGGTGGTAGCTTAATTGCCTTTGTCTCTCCACAGGCACACTTTTGCTGTTTTATCTCTACTTGAAAGGCTCTTGCTTGAACTGGAGCACGCGGCTGGGTAGGATCAGCTGCAGATCCAGTACGCGAGCACCACTGTTCTTTGATCGTGGCAAAGGGCCAAGACAGTATGAGTGGAGGGGGGAGAGAGGAAGGCTACGGTTCAGCCTACAGCTTCCTTTCTGTCATGCTGGAAAGTATAGTCAAAAAACGAAACTCCACCGGAGACTGGAGTCTTGGTAAAAGGCTGCTGCTCTCTTCTCCTCATCTCTCACTTCTCTGCTGTAGCTGAACTCTTTGACCTCTGCTGCTGAGTTAGACAAAGAGAGACTTGGAGCCGAGCTGCTGCCTGGCTCCCTCCTGGCTTGGCCTTGCAGTGCTCAAATATCTTGTTTTTCATTTCAGTGTTTGCTAAGAACTTCCGCGTCAATGCCGTCATGAAGACGTCTGTGTTGCTGAGCTGGGAAGTGCCTGACTCCTATAAATCTGCAGTGCCTTTCAAGGTAAGGGTGTGATGCAGAGGACGGGGAGCTTGACCTGTGGCAGCGAGCAGGACAGGGGAAAGTAGCATCTTGACCTGCCACGTGATGTTTTCAGGCCATCAGACAAGAGACCAGCACGTCAGGGTCGTGTTGCTCACTGGCCTGGGGTCTCGTGGAGCTCAGATCTCCAAGCCCAGGTTACGTGGCCACTCTTGCTTTTGAGCACCCACATGTGAACCGTGGCGCACAGTAGAGCACACTGCTGCTTCCTTTCCCTCTTCTCACTCCTCTTAGGCCAGGAGGTGGTGTAGTTTTGTTGATTTCTTTCTCTTTTGATCAGTTGTGGAGCGTTGGCTGAAGCACACCAACAGGAAACACCAAGCAGTGAAGGCATGCACTGGGCAGAGGCAGCCTGAGGATATCTTGGGGATCGTAATATGTATTTCTGCCTTCTCACCATTGAAGTAGAAACCCATCTTGACCATAGCAACTTTTGCTAAGTACCCGCTTTTCCCTTGATAGTGCCCCTGAATTACTTGGCTTTCTGAAGGGGAATAGAAACTGGTCTGGCAGCCTAAATCGCTGATGCTTTTCCAATGAGCGGTTCCAGTGGTTGCTCACGCAGTCCCAATCAGTGCTTCACCCCTCCCTCAGCTTTGTCAAGTATCCTGTTAGCTGGTATCACTCGGCTGGAGCCTACCAGTCAGGCTGGCCATTGCAGCTCCATGACAGTGGTTACACAAGCTTGTCCAGATGCCCGACTCAGAGTCGAAGTGTGATTGAAAATATGGTTTAATTGGAAGAGATCATGACATGTTTTAATCAAAAGAGATTCCCAGCATGATTTGGTCTAAAAACCCAGCCACTGAATCAAACTAAGAGTGACTCCTTCTGCAACGTGTCTCAAACATCCAGATTGCCTTTATTTCAGAGCATCAGACCAGATGCATAATCTCAGAGAGTGAAGGAGAGAAGCATCATCACCCTTCCAGGAGGTGTACAAGTGTGAGCAGCACAGGATGTGTCAGTGTCTCTGCAGGAGCGGCTGCTGCTCTCTTCTCCAGCACAGTTTTGGATGTAGACAACACTGATGACCCAATGTCCTCCTGCTCTTGTCTGTCCCCCAGTGTGGTTGACATGGGTAAAAGACTCGAGCGTGGTGGAAATGTCTGCAGATCTCAGTGCAGCTTCTCTCCCTCAAGAAACAAGACCAACACATCACATCGCCAAGGATGCTGTCTGCTGCCTCTGGGTGTCGAGCAGCGTGACTTCCCTTCCTCCTTGCCCATGCACCCTGCCGTGCTGTGCCTAAAAACCACATGTAAGGCCTGCACGAGCTGTGGGAGATCCATGGCCAGAGGAAGGTCTTGAACTGCATCCACATCAAAGTGTGTGAGCACCTCCCCTTCCCTGTTACTAACTCTCCTTGTTTAAATCCTAAAGCTGAATTACTATGATCGATAGCAGACACTTGTTAACATGCACGGTTTAGCTAAAGCAGACAAGGCTTTTGTGGAGACTTTGTGGTATTCAAAGCTTCCCCAGATGTAGAGTGTGCTAGGATCAGTGTTCAGATATCTGGCCGCAAGGAGCTTCGCCGATCTCTGTTACTTTGCACTCTGCTGAAGAACCAGTCTGCTTCGTCTCGCCTTATTTTTGTGGCACGAAGCCCACGTCCCTGCCTGACAGCGCAGTGCTAGAAAGGGACAGCGTGACCTTTGGAGCATTACCACCACGTAAGGATGGTGGAGTGGTTGGAGGTAGCCAGGAGCCAACTGCGTAATGCTGATGCCTTGTCTCAGCCTGGTAGCTGCAATTGCTCACACAGCCGGTGACTCAGGGTCTGCCCCTGCTGCGGGTTAACCCTCAGATGACACAGGAGCAGATGGCATTAGCCACTTGCTAACTGCGGAGCAGTCATGCAAACAGGAGCGTTACAAGGATATTTCTCTAATAGGGCCTTCTTTCTATTAATATTCTCAGACTTGCAGACACGCATGAGTCAAGGCCAGAAGCTAAGAGGGTCAGCTCCAGATCACTAACGAAAGAAATCCTTAACCTTCAGTGCTTTGTCTCGCTATAAACAAGGTTCACCTCTCTCCTCTAATTCAGGCACATGGGGATGCTGAGGACAGAGCCTAATACTGTAACTAGCATAGCAGATAAATCTCCATGGGAACAATTAGTATTATCTACACTTGATAAACAGTCTCATGCTAAATCTATGTCCCAGAGGGCGTCATATTCTACTTTAACAGATTTAATTAAAGTAGATATTGTTCTGACAATGAATAGTGAGGCACAGGCAGGACTGGTGCTAATTTTTTATAGGGGATGAACTGAGACCTTAGGAATTTTCATTGCCACCAAATCAATAATGAAGGTTTGAGTTCTCTGTGGGGAGTTTGCACCGCTTCTTCTGGCCCAGGAGAGAAATTCCTTGTAAAATGTTGCCCAGCGGTTGTGGTGGACCAGAGGCACTCTTCCTTTCTGGTTCCTTGCAGAAAGCTCTTCTGGAGGTTTCATGGAAAGTTCACGGCAGATACAACCTTCTCCTTGGGGAAACTGCATTTTTCTGAGACACATTCTCCAACTTAAAAGCAGAACAGAAGGCAGCATCACAAGGTATTTTATGAACTGGGAGAAGGAATAACACCCTTAGAAAATTACCACAGAGGTTCAGAAATAACCCCTGAGAATGCTGGGCAGAGCTTTCTCACAGAATGTAGTAATTTACTCCTGCACCCCCAAAAGGCAACCTCGTCTACGTTTCCACTGAGTAATTATCTTTTCCAGTGGTGCACACTACATGCCTTTTCATCTTTTAGTTCAGTGCATTCCTTACTGCCTTGAAATCAAGCAGCAGACCTTCAGCGGTGACATTTGGACCCACCTAGCTTTGCAGATCATCCCTTGTGCGTAAGAGCAGCACAAATGACATTTTTACAGCGATCCATGGGCTAGTCAGCAGTGTTTGGCAGTTCAGAGCCCTTGGGCCAAATCTGCTGCTGACTTAAGTAGCTGCCAGTGGGCCATGGTGCAACCTCTAAATAGCTTTCCTGCTTGAGCTCCGGGGCATCTTCAGCTGCACTCGAATGACTGTTTCTGAGCCCTTACGTTACTGAAAGGTTTCTGTGGAGGCCTGAACGAATGGTGCATAACATTTGAGAAAACAATGTGTTATGGCAGGTGAAGGAGCGTCGAACTGCTACGGCAACTGTGAAAGCGGGGATGGCGGAGGATGCTTCGGGAAAGCACTGCAAATGCCAGTTTCACTGTCTTTGGACACAAATTTCTGTGCATGGCAGTAAAAATCATCTCACGGAGTCAGGACTGAGTCAGAGACTGTGTCCTGGCTGGTTCCTATGCAGAGCAAGCAGGGAAACTCTGCCTGAACTGAAGTGCCTGACCATCTTTTCCACCACCTCTTGCCCCAGGAGAACAGCCACGTCCCCAGCAGATGCCTCATCCGTGGGCTGGTGGTGGGCAAGTGTCCTCCCTAGCAGCACACGCAGAAGCAGTTGATGGTACCTTCATTAGAGAAGACTTCCTAACAAGAAATCTCACTTGAGAGGCAACAGAACCCTTTGTGGGCTTTGCATCCTTCCAACATAGCTCTAAATATTGGGAGTCTGGATTTGTTCAGGTCTGCATTGGAGCACATGAAGTGAGGTCGGGCTGCTCCCTTAGGACATACGTGGCTTGCTTTCATCTGGAGTATCTGGACCTGTACTGTAGCAGTATCATTGTGAGGGGTGGTGCTGGAACAGACAGCGAAGCTGCTAAGCTGCCCTGAAATCCAATGCTCTTTGTTGCATCTACCTGTGTCAGAGCAGGGTGGAATCGGCCAACGAAATACCTGATATTCCAGCACTACAAGAGGCATTTCTTCATTTTATCTTTTTCCCTTCCTTTAGCACACATCTGATATACATGTCTTTGGAGAAAAGGATTAAAGCCCAGGAGAAAGCGTCTTAAAGAGGAGTCACAGCAGAGAACAACTCCCTCCAGCCATCCTGCCTTTGGCAGCCTTTCCTGCACATGGGGCAGCCAGCAGGGGCTATGTCCCTGCAAACCTCTGTTCTTTTAGTACTTGGTTCTTCCCTTTGCAGATCATCCCTGAAGACTGAAACATGGCAACAGGCGAGGTTGTTTGCATCTCTCCTCCGCCGCTGGCTCCTCACTGCTGCTGTTACCTGTTGGGAGTCTCTTCCCAGCAGCAAAAAAGCCAGGTCTTTTTTCCTATCCCGACCTCCATGCAAAGTGACCTGGAGAGGATTTGAAGCATGCTGTGGGTAACGCTGTTCGGATAACACAAAAGCAGAGCTGCAAATTTAAGGCCTAGCCTTAGTCCCTGTGCTCTGTTGTCTAGACCACTTTTCAGGGCATGCCTCCACCTCCCAGCTGCAGCACTAAATATTAGAGCAGTGCTAATTAGCTGCCCTTGTCCCAGCAAGCCAGCAGCTTTCTGCAGATTTCTGCCACCTGCTATAAAGGTGACTTGGAAGGAAAGGTTGCTTCCTCCCTTGCTGCCTGTGTCAGCCTGAACTGAGAGCTCAGCTGGTGAAAAATTTGCTTTACTTCAAGTAATTTTTCTTCCACCGAGCTGTCTTCTCTCTCTCAAGGCCGTTGTGGGAATGAGCACGGGGTTTTGCTGTGTGGTCTCTGCCTGTGGCACATAATAGCTGCCATGGTTTAACATGCTCTGGCTCTGCCCTTGCCAAATTTTGGCATTCTGTGTCTCTGCAGCACTATCAGGAGTCCAGCACTCCCCTGCCATGCTGGATGGTCACCTGCAGGAAGGAAACACACTGGTTTATCACAGTTGGGGCACAACCTCTGGTTTCTCTGGTTCTCTACACCCCGTTTGTCTCTGTCTGCAGGAACTGTCTGAGTTTCTGGCTTTGCAGAGGCAGCACCCAAGCTTTAGGGGTACAGGGATTGCTCCAACAGGATTGGGATCGAGGTCACCAGGGTAGATGGGCTGTTTGGTGCAGCTGATACAGCAGTGGCCGTGGCTGCTCTGCCCTGGGGGTCCTGGATATCTGCACTTGGGTGCTGAGAAAGTGTCATTAGGTGAGGAGTGGGGAAGCTGTGCATGGGGGCTGCCCGCTGCCCCAGGCCACCAGTAGCTCTGCCCTGGTGTGCCCACCAGCGCCTCGCTGCAAGCGCGGCAGCAAAAAGCAGCGCAATCTCCTGCCCACAGCTGGCGCAGCACCAGCATCTGTTGTCATGGCAACAGGGTGTCACACCTGCAGAGCCGCTGGTTTGGGTACCAATTTGTGAGCCCTGCACAGGATTTCTCAGGTCATTGGTGTGGCATGTAAGCCTCCCCCATCCCTGGTCACCTTGCTGGGAGGGGGATGCTCTGCATTAACCATTCTGTCAGGCATCAGCTGGTTGACACGGGAGTGACACCGATTTAAAGCGGACGGGATTTTACACCACAAGCATATTGCGCGTTGTAGCCTCGTGAGACAAGAAACAAAACCCCATTCGTCTCCACACGAGGGCAAAGCACAGCCATCTGGATCGCTCCCCCAAAACCGGCGTGTGTGGCACCGCCAGCCTCACCGCTGGCGCCGGCCACCCGGGATTCGCTGAGACGCCCCTCTCGGCTCCATTGCTGCGAGGCACAGGGAGCGCGGTTCAACCCTGTGCTGGGAGTTGCTCTTCTTTACCTAAAGATTTATGGCTGTTTACGAAGCGCACAGTAGCTTAACCACCTGAGGGAGGGCCCAGAGCCAAATTGTCGTCTCCGGCGCTGCTATTTTGAGCGTGAGTTTTCATCAGCAGCTGCTGGCTACATGAGCGTGTCCTTTTCCCGTTTCAGATTCTGTACAATAGCCAGAGCGTGGAGGTGGATGGCCACTCAATGAAGAAACTCATAAGTGACCTGCAGCCAGACACAGACTATTCTTTCGTGCTAATGAACCGCGGGAGCAGTGCTGGGGGGCTCCAGCACCTCGTCTCCATCCGCACCGCTCCTGATGTCTTACAGAGCAAACCCATCGCCACAAACAAGTACATACAGGAAGGAAAATTCACGCTCGCCCTTCCCAAAGTCCAGACCACTGTGCCAGTTAGGTAGGTGCCGTGCCTGGGTGGAGAAGGCAGGGTGGGGGGAGTTAGAGATGGGGAAGAAGGCAGGGCAGGCCTCTGCTGACCTGTGGATTTTGTAGCCTGGGAGCAAATTTCTGAGCAGGCTGTGGTACGGAGCCAGGCGTTTACCCGTAACGTGGGATCACGCTGCTGGCTCTTTCTGAGCAAATATTTCTGTATGCACAATAAAATTAAGACAGTTCTCTGACAGTTTGCCCTCACCCTGGTGGGTATACTCCAGATGCTACCAGCGAAAACACAGTTGAGGATCAGAAGGGACTTTCTCTGACACTGTATAATATCCTTTAAATAAATAATGCCTAAAACCTCAAGGAGATTAAAAAAGCAAGTTTGTGGAAGTCTTATTCGTTACTGTGGCATCGTTGTGCTGAAGCACGATTCCCCCAGGGTTCTTGCTACAATCCGATTATATAAATGTCCTTCTCGTAGCTCCTACACCACCCTCTGGAGCGCAGTCTGTAGATCTTCATTAACCTAATGAGTGCTAATGGGAGCATTCTCCTCTCTGGTGCAGCTGGAAAACCAGCTTCTTCCTTACCGAACCCTTTTGCTGCGTAGAGGGCAGGCAGAGGAGCAGGTTGTCCTTGGGAGGCATATGGTGTGTGTTATTTAGTGACCATTTGGAGAGATGACTTAGGTGCAAGGTGCTTACACTTTCTTTCCTTCCCAGGTGGTACTACATCGTGGTGGTGCCAGCGGATCAGAGCACCAGCACCCCGACCGCTCGGTGGAGAACACCCGATGAGATGGAGCTGGACCAGGTAGGATGTTAGCAGTGATGGAAGTGGCTCATCACGCTTTGCCCCAGGCCTCCTGGCAACAGCACGGGTGCAGTGACATCGGTGCAGACTGTAAACAGAGATTTTCGGCTGTGGGATGTGTGGTGTACACTCAGCCTTTCTTGGCTGGTGACAGCCTGTAGGAAGGAGGCTGGAGTCAAGCAAGGGAGGAGGCATCTGGCAGAATGTGCCCCCTTAGGGACCACATTTGGGTGTCTCAAAGCTCTGACCAGGACAGATCCCCTCTTGGTTGTACACCCTTTGCAGCCTTTTTCAGCTGAAGCAACCATGCCGATTTTGAAAACAAGCTAGGAGAAAAAGGTATAGTTTGCAGTTTATTAATGTGTACTGTCAGGAGGCTTTTCCCTCTCCACATAGGACCTAAGCCTGAAATCTGGATATAGAGTTCACGCTAGTATCTAAGAAACCTGCAAAGCTCCCTTCACACTTGCTTGTTAAAGGCTTTCAGCATCCAGCAGCCCATTCACTCCGAGATGCAGCTCATTCTGTGCAGGAGTCCTCCGACACCGGTAGCGTGGTACACGTGCAGGTGTCAGCAGAGTCCCACACAAGGGGTTTGTGGGCTCTTTCATCCCCACACACACCAACCCCACAAAGTCATAGGGAAAAATTCCAAGAATGGTCTATTAAGAGAACAAAGTTGCAAGCTTGAAGCACTCAGAAATTACAGAGTTTTAGAAGCCCGTGCTTATCATTAATCTTTAATTACATGGCGGCACAGTCTTTTCCATGGGGTCTCGGCTCATGCTGTGCATGGGTGGATCTGTTCTGCACATGAAGCACATCTGTAGGTCCTTTGCATCATTTCATTGCAGGAGTTGGAAGATGTCACAAGAAATAAAAGACTGAGATGAGAAAGGAGTTTAGAGCTTTAGGTGGTTGAAAGCTATCGAGAGAACTGCTTTCTGTCTTTGTTTCATACGGTCCCAGGCAAATGATACAAACCAAAATTTTCATTAGCAGCCACTGTCTTGCATGTTCTGGTTTTTTGGAGTGCTCTGTTTAAGATCCTGGAGCCTCATTTGCAAAGCCTAAGCATCCCCAGCTGCAGAGAAAGTCAGTAGGAGCTCTGCTGGATACAGTCAGTGCTATAAAATAATGCTAAGTTTTCTTTAAAAGCAAAACAGGCCGATGTCTTTTTAATTAGACATTCAAAATTCGTGGACATTTTTTACATTAATGTCCCTGCATCTCTGTTCTCCCTCTGTAAAATAGGGATAACTGCATTCATCTCACCTCATATGGGTGTTTGGAAGATAAGATTGTTAATGTTTGTGAAGCACTTATAATATTTTAGTGATCAGCACCATAGAAAAGCCCATGAGGAAATTATTAATTTTGCCTTCAGATCTGGATTTGAATAGTAAGCAATAAACAAGGCCCCGGGCTGCATAATGCAAAGAGGAAAACAAAATACGGAATAGCCGCTCTTTGGTTAAGCGTTGTCTGTCCTGTGCACTGCACAAAGCAGAGGAGTTACAGGAAGGATGGTATGAGACCGTGCAGTCAAGGATTGTAACACAAGGCACACACGTAAGACCGCTGAACTAATTTTGCACAGGCTGTGTTAATTTTCTAATTGTTCAGGATCTGAACTTTGCGAGCCTGGCATCCTTTTGATGCAGTCTTTTGGTGCATGTTACATGTATAAGTGGCAGTAGCATCCAGCAACCTCGATCACAACTGGAGCCCCGTGGTTTCATGCCCGTGCACATACAGCTGTGCTTTCTGCCCCAAGAGTTCAGCTGTAACTTCAGCCAGGATACAAGAGATGTGTGTGAGGAGCACACTCCACAGTCCAAGGACTATTTTTCTGCCTTTTCCCTCTGCAGTTACAAAGATATTTGCGAAACCGAGATTTCTCCATCCCATTTTTCTTCTTTTTTTCCCTTTACTTTGTCATATTGCAATGCCAAGCTCTAGATGTCCTAAATTACTCCAACGTGGCTATTCATAAGAGGGCAAGGATGGGCTGCTGAGGGGAAAGAGCCTTACCCAGCTGAGAGCTCATGTCAGCAGCGTGGCTTTGTGTGCACATCACTGTCCCCAGCCCCACCGATGCTCCCTGTCTGTCCTGACAAGGCTACACTGATACATCCGTGTGTGAAATGTATTTCATGCCTCCTTCATCATTTTAAATTAGAATTTCTGTTCCAAGCCTGATATTGGTTTTCATTCATTAGGAAAACATCTTCAAACATCTGAGCGTCTTTCTTAGCAGCGTAATTGAATTTTTGTGTATTTATATCCCTTTTCCTGAATTCGCGGCTGACGATGAAATTTGCCATTTTTTGCTCTGAACATCCCATGAAATCTGTTCTCGTTCTGTGTGATTTACACACAACCCTGCCTGCAGCCCAGCAGCAGGTGAAATACCGAGGCACTGACTGAAGGGAAAGACATCGCAAAAGTCACTTTTTCCCTATGCATCAGGGTCAGCTGTAATTCACATCCAGTGAATTAGAGAGCGTGAGTCACTTGCTGTCCATAGCAATATCTGAGCCGCAGAACGTGGCCCGGTGCCCTTGCAGCCCATGGGGTGCAATATCTCAGGGTGACAGGCACAACCAGCCCCTAATATTCGCCGTGTCAGCATCCCAGGGCTCAGGGCTCTCCCAAAGCTGAGCTCCAGCAGAGGTGCTTGCAGTGAGGGGTCTGCAGTCGGGTGCCTTGGCAGTGTCTGAGCAGATAACACATCCCTCTGGTTTCATTGTACCACCACATCCAAACCAAACCTGGTATCTTCTCCCTTCCCTTCCACCCTGCTGAGCCCTACAACCAGTAAGGTCAGAGCCTAAGGCCATGTCATGCTGGGTGAAGCAATAGTGATGCGCCTAGTTTGTCCCCAGCTGCTGGAGGCCATCAGCCAAGGGAGTCAGAGCAGGCGCCAGCGACGCCAAGCAGACAGACTCAAGCCCTACATTGCTGCTCAAGTGGATGTGCTGCCGGAGACCTTCACCCTGGGGGACGAGAAGAACTACAAAGGTTTCTACAACAAGCCCCTGTCCCAAGACCTGAGCTATCGCTGCTTCGTGCTGGCCTCGCTGGAGGATGGCGACACGGTAAGGACTTGCTGCTGGGGGTGTGGGGACACCTTCTGTCCTAGCAAAGCTGAGGGGGGCTCAGTGCAGGCGCAGTGAACAAGGACTGCAAGCTGGGATGATGGAGATTTCTCTGAAGAGTGGAGAGTGAGGCTGCATAGCTGCTCTCAACCAGCTGAGGCACTTGATAGATGGTGTTTTTGGAAGGAAATGGCACGAATGTTGGACATAACAGATGAGAGTGGAGGGCAATGTCAACACATGCGTTCTACACAAGCTCAGTTGCAGCTTGCTGGGCTGTGCCCCGGGCAGAGCTTGACGTGTGATTGGGCTGGGATAGGTTCTCATTCTGCTTTAGTTCAAGTGACTGTGGAAAACAGTCCCTTGAAAGCCTCCCCTGCACCGTGGCTGCTGAGGCTCTGCAGTGAAGAGGATGCTCCCCTTGCAAACCTGCCTTCACGGGCCCCTCCTGGCCAGAGTCTCACTTCCAGATGATGTATGAGGAAGCACACAGACCTGCCTCTGCCTCCCATTGCAGGGGGTTGTCAGCAGGGCAACAGCATGGGCTTGCTGTGTAGGGATTCTTGCTCCTGTGCCTCTCCTCGCTAGAGACAAACGGGCCATGCCTTTGCCAGCCACCAAGCACACGGGGCCTGGCCACGTGAAGGGGAAGGGAGCAGCTGATGCAATAAGCAGAGAGCAGCGCAGTGAGACCCGTGCATCAGTGGTGGCGGTGGCAGTAGTGTAAATAAGGGAAATGATAGAGATGCACACAGTCCTTTGGTCGGCTTCCAAGTTGCGGCTTCCTTCCTCAGCCTTGTTTGCTTGTAATGGCTCATTAGGGCCGGTCAAGTTCTTCATTACTCATCCAGCTCACGCGTTCTTGTGGTGAGATGTGCACAGCGGTGAGGGAAGGAGAGTCACAGATTAGCAGCAAGGTAAGGTGGAAGCCTTGGGATGTGCTGTCCTGGCAATCCCTGTCAAGAAGAGATGGCCTTAATTAGATGATCCCAGACTGTTGTCATCTCCTCCCCAGCACAGGCCTGTCACAGCCCTCCAGTGAGCCACCAGCCAGCAGAATTGTTACACCCTGCTCCTAGGGACCACCTGCATCCGCTGCTGAGCCGTACCTGGTTTTGTTTGAAGCATGAGGTGCTCTTTCCAGGGCTGTGCACTATCTCCCCGGCTCAGCTGCTCTTAAATTGCTTGCTGTGTCTCTAGAGTCAGCAGGCGAGCGTAACATCGCCATTCTTCAAAGGCAGAGGGGAGTGCCGTTGAAACACCATCTCTGAGAACAGGGACACCTGCACCTCGCAGTCTGCCTTTGGAAATGCCACTGAGATAACAGTCCTTCTGATCTTTTCTGCCTCTGTCTTCTCTGGGAAGGAGCCGTTTCCAAAGCGCGTCTGCAAAAATACGAATCTCTGCCCCTTGCACAAAGCTGTGGAGATGGACACGCGTGTTACCTTGCTGCACAGATCAGCAGGCTCCTTCTCCTCCACCTAATGCAGCTCGACCTTTCTGGGTAGTCACGGGCAAAGGCTTTGTGCCTTCCTCACAGAGCAGCTGTTTGCCCATACAAAGGGGATCCCCAGGCCTTCTGCACTGTCTGCTCATCACCAGTGCAGTGTCCTCTTGTCTCTGCCACGCTGAGACAGAGCTGTTGCTGACTCCCTGCGCTGTTATTTGAACTGGCAAGGGGAGGCGTAGGGACACACCAATGTGTTGCAGTGATCCCATGCAGATTTTTTCTAGGAACAGAGCTGAACTAAGAGCCAGCAGCTATTTCAGGGTCATTGAAACAGGGTCTTGTAGAGCTGAAAGGCCTCTTGGACAAAGCAGCAACCACCCCCGTGCTCCCTGTCCAGCCAGTGGCATCTCTGACCACTGATAAATCTGAGGAGAGCAGCCAGGATGCCGCACCTCCCTGTGCTGCCAGAAGGATCTGACAGATAAGAGCATTTTCTGTACTCCACGCATGTTTGAAACCAGGCTGGCTGGGATCAAGGGCACCTGTAAGAGGAGCTCAAGATGTGCATTTGTGTGACACCAGCACTCTTGGTTTTCCCTTTCTTCCTCTCACATGCACGCAGACATGAAGTGTGTGTTTAAACTTCGACCTTAGAGCAGGTGATTTATAGATCCACAGGCACCTCCTTGGTGACCAAAACTTTCTGTGGCAGGAGCAGAGCATTTCTGGCTCCCTAATGCAGAGCGGCAGGTGCTGCTCAAAAGCCACAAGCACTGAACTGCTCCAGCTCTGGCCCTCTCTGATAGGGGTAAAGGATTTCTTTTTGCAGCGTTTAACCCTTCTGACCCAGCGAGGCTGAGCGGCGAAGGGACAACACGGTTCCATAAGCCTTAGCTACAGCAGCAGAACAAGTCAGGTGCAGTGTCATTTTTCTGCAGGAAGGGTTTGGATCTCTACTAATCACATCTTGCTGGTAGGGCCAGAAAACTATCCCTTCAGATTATAAATCACTGGGCTGCCAGATTGCAGAAGTCTCTGGAAAGGAACCTGTAAGCATTGAGCCACCTTTCCAAGGACTGTTTATCAGGGCTGAGACATCAGTAGAAAATGTTCCTGTCGTTTTAGTTCCTTTAAGAAAACTGCCTAGCCCAGCAGGGGTTTTCCTAATATAGCCCTGTCCTGGAGAGATGTGTTGATATCAGCACAGCAGGTATTACAAACCACTCAGGAATCATCAGCCAGCCCCACTGTGCAATTGGTTGGGATTCAAAAGCTTGCAACTTGGCTCCGGGAGAATCCAGGGCTGGCAAGTGGCTCTCAGCTGGGCTGCTCCAGTTTGGCACCTCGAGGCCAGGTCTGCCAGCCAGAAAATTGCTGGCACTGGGCATGTTTCACAGCAGGAAGAGACTCTTTCCACAGCGAGACCTCCATTGATGCCGAGGGAAGGAGGGAGGATCCTGTGGTGTGCTGCTGGGATTTGACCATTCCCTGCTAGCCAGAGACGAGGGGAAACCTCCACATTTCAGAGATGTAGCTCTGGCTTTAGCTTAATGGATGGTATCTTTTCTCTCCCTGTCCTGCTGGTGCTGTTCAGAAGAGATACGCAGCCAGCCCCTACTCGGATGAGATCGTGATGGAAGTGGCTTCAGCAAAGCAGCAGGATGAACCGGAGATGCTGTGGGTGATGGGACCCGTCCTGGCTGTGATATTAATCATCATCATTGTCATTGCTATACTCCTCTTCAAAAGGTGAGGTCCAGTGCAGGACATAGCAGTTACGGCATGAGCACTACAGGTGGTGGCATCCTCAAGACCCTCCTTGTAGCCTTCAGATACGGGGTGCTTTGTTGGTCCTTGGTGGACATGGGGACATGGCTTTATAAAGAGAGTATGCAGAAGGTAATTAGTCTCAGCCCCAGGACACAGAGCTGCTGTGGATTCTGGAAACGTGTGAGCAGTGGGACAGAAGAGAGCAGCTCTGTCACTGAAGCCAGTCTGACTGCTCTCTGGTCTCACAGCTTGGATTTGCAGCCTTGGGGACATCTGTAGTACTGGTTTGCTGTGGAAATTGCCTGCTTCATCTCTGGTAGGTGCCCCCACTGCTGTGAATTTTGACTGGGAAACCTGATCTTGGTAGTGAGAACAGGGTAGGGATGTGACGGGCTGAAATCAGCAAAGGAGCTCCCTTCTTGAGGCCTCTCAGTCCAGGCAACTGGATCAGGACCATCCACGCTCTGTGCTCGCTGCTGAAGCAACCACCTGCTTGTGTGTAGCAGAGCAGTCCTGCTAGAGCTGTAACTGCAGCGTGAGATGATTGTTAGTCCTCCCGAGGAGGCACAGGTTGCATTTGCATGTGTTGGCCTAGCCTGTTCAATTACAGGAGGTCATTCTCTATCAGCTCAGCTCCGAGGTTCTGCTCCTCCTGGACTCTCTATTTACATATGTATCTGTGGTTCGGGGAAGGGAGCTGGCTTTGTTGTCTGATTAAATGGAGCTCTGCTGTGCATGTGCAGTCAGTGCCTTTCTGTGTCAGTGATCATCTCCTTTCTTCTGTTTCTGCTTTTCCCTGGATCTAGTAAACAAGAAAGGTAGGAGTGCGTTTTATCTTCTTGTTTTGCTAAAATTTCAAATCTATTTCTCTTTCTAAAAATCAAGCCTGAAGCTAGTAAGGAGCATCTTTGTTTTTGGGAGCATGGGGCATGCCAGCCCTGGGGGTTTACAAAGACTTGTTTTCTCAAAGGTAGCAGCCTCCTAGCAGTTGTCAGCCTCGCACAGCTCATAGGGAGACGGTTCCAACATAAAAACTTCCCAGATCGTTTTTGCAATTAAATTAAGAATCAAAAATGTGACACTACCAGCAGTTAGAGGTGGTTCTTTGTTTTCTCAGTCGCTTCAGACTGAGAGCTGTTCCATCAAGAAGGCAGGTGCATTCTTGCAGCCTGTAATGAGGGAGCTTTGAGGGAATACCAGGCAATTGCAAGAAACAAAGTGTTTGCTGGTCTTTAATGAGAGAAGATTACCCCAGAGGGGATTTGTACTTGGGGCCCATAGACACCGTGCCCAGCTTGGCTCAGCTTTGCTTTGTCCTGTGTTCTGGTATGGGTGGAGCACCAGGAAGCAGCAGCAGCCCAGTGTGCTCAGACCTGACACTGATGTCCCTCCTGGCCCCTGCAGGAGCAGCTTATCCCCTTCCAGCACCACCCACGTGCTCAGGGATGCTGTGTTACACCACAGGTTTTTGCTGCCCAGCTTCTCTTTGGAGCTGTTTTTACTCCCCAAGGTATCTGTGCAGCATATTCACATGTCAAACCAACAATGGGAGTGAATTGAAGCTGAGTAGCAATGGATAGCTTGGGATCTGGAGGGTTGTTTAGCAGTTGCCCTGACCAGGCTAATGAGAGAGACAAACATTAATTGTGTGTTGTGTTCGTTCCCCAGAAAAGCTGGGCCACTTTGCTCAGGGGCTCAGGGACTGGCACACAGTAGCACATGGCACATCCTGCTCTGCTCCTGATAGAAGAAACAGTGCTTTATTTGTTTGCCATGTATTTTCCTTTCTTACTATCAATGCTCTCAGGCCTTCAGCTCTCAGTTCAGGCAGCTAGAAGGCTTCTGAGATGCTGGGATGACTCAGAGTGGTGTAAGACTCACAAGCTGGTCCTTCCCGTCAAACAGCTCCAGTGTTTGATGCAGCCGCGGGCTGCAGATGGAATTTGCTCGCAGTCTGAACCACAGAGAGGATGCAGGTTTCACTCCTGATTTAGGCACTATATTTTCCCTAATTGCTCTCAGTAGTGCCAGCACAGCATGCACAGCTCTCTGTGGATGCAATAGCACCCTGCACCTGTGTAGAGCATTTCGTGTCTCGGGGTCACCACCACCCGCAGAGCCTGGCAACCCTTCCGGATGCTCACAAGGAGAAAGCAAAGACTGATTCTGTGATTTGCAGGATGGTAAATGCACCTATGCAGACTAGCAGTGATGCAGCTCCCTCTCTTCCACAAAGCATCAGGTCGGTAGAGCGGGACACCAGCAGGCAAAATGCATTTGGGGGCTGTAGCCAAGAGGCAAAGTCTCTTGTATTGCTGCGTGCTGAGCACCTTGGCAAAGGGTCAGGGTCAGCACAGACTCAGAAGAGAGTACTGCTGTCCTGCTCCTGCCCAACACCCCTTTCTGCTGCATGGCTAGATCCACTCTATTTGCAATATAGAGCAAGAAGTGGGACTTAGAGAATGGCTAGAGAATTAGGTTTTTCTTAATATTCACTTGTCCACTTTTTGATTGGATCTGTCCCTGCTTTGCCTGTGAATTCCACGAAGAGCCTGAAGTGGTGGCATTGCTCTAGGCATAAATACAGCATGAAGAGACAACAGTGTATTTTATTGTTCCATTAATACACGCCTTGGGTGCCTTCAACCATTCAAGACATGTATTAATGGCCCAATAAAACACACCCTGAAGAGCCTTTACACTATTATATTACAGCTTTCTATATTTAAATATTTCTAATACTCGAAAAAAGTTATATCCTTCCACTACAGGAAATAGTTCCTAGAGAGATTAGAGAAAACAACATCTTGCATCTATCTGCTTTTTTCTCTAATAAATATTCTGCAAAATGTCACATTTTCAAAGTACCTCACTAATCAAACCTCTGCCATCACTTACATATCATCCTTCCTGTTTCATAGATGGGAAATTGGAGGCACAGAAGAGGATGTGACTTGCTCAGCACCCCAAGGAGCCTGGGATGGAGCTGGGTGTCTGGGATGCAGGGACCCAGACTCCTTCCTGGGGTGCTTCATGCCAGTCTCTGCCAGAGCTCACCTGCTTGTGTCTGCCCTCTCTGTCCATAGGAAACGGGCACACTCCCCCTCTTCCAAGGATGAGCACTCCATCGGCCTGAAGGACTCGCTCTTGGCCCACTCCTCTGATCCGGTTGAGATGAGGCGGCTCAACTACCAGACTCCAGGTAGGGAGCAGCAAACCCCCCTTGTGCCCCACCTCCTCCGGTGTCCCTTGGCCCAGGTCCCCGTGCCAGAGGAGGAGTTGCAGTCCTCCCCTCCCAGCAACTCTGTCCCTTCTCAGTCACAGTGGCACAGAGCGGGCTTAGACCGAGGATATCCAAGGAAATCCTTCTCCCTGGCCCTGTCACTGCAGGCACACAAGGCTGGGGAACGTGGGTAGGGACAGCCTAGTGTGTGGTGTGTGTCAGACATTGTGTTAAGCTCACTGTGGTCGTCCTGAGCCAGGAGCAGCCTCCACACAGAGCTGAGAGAGCTCACAAGTGTCCAAACCTGCGTTGCTCCCGGCTGCTGCACTGGCTTGGGCCAGGCTGAGGTTCAGCGCTGAACACCACCAGTGCAGTGCTGGCCACACTGGTTGTGTCTGGGGGACCAGGAGGTACAGAGAGCCCTTGTACTGCTGTGGGTGTCCCCCCAGCTTCATCCCAGGATCTTTGGTGTGCTGACTCTCCTGATCTGCTCAGCTCAGGGTGAAGAGAAGAGCTACCTGCAGCCTACATTGCTCCCCAGTCAGTGCTGTGGCCCAGTGAAGGACGCTGCTGGTCACAGTGGTCTCAGTGCAGAGGATGACAGTTCAGTAACAGACATTGCTTTCTGCATGCAGCCGTTCACTGCAGAGCATCTCGCCGTGCCTGCGCTGGCCTGTGGTGTCTTGGGGTGTAGTTAGCTTGCCAGCCCGCAGAGGCAACTGCACTTCACACTGCAGAAAGCTCTCGTGCTGCTGCTTTGTGCCTGTACATCTCTGATGGCACTGAAAGTACAGTACCTGTCATTGCTGTGATCAGAGACAGGCTCGTCTCGACTCGTTCAGAGACTTCCAGAGCGCCCAAGTCCTCGATGAAGTGAGGGAGCACTTGGGCTTTTGTGATGGAGGGAGCAGTTCAGTAATAAATGAGGCACATATAGCTTTCTTCTAACTCATAGCTCCTCCTGGTCTGTAACCTACTTTCCTTTTCCTCCTGCTGCTCATTCACCTAAGAGCTTTCATCTAACAGGAGTTTAGGAAGGATGGTTTCCTGATGTCAACCTGCTGTGTCTGGGAGGGAGGGTCAGAGCAGCCTTTCCTGTTGCCGCTCACGGCGGTCTGGCTCAGACATGGGGTGGGCTTCACCAGCACATCCCTCTCTGCGCCAGGGCAGCTGTCAGAGATGTGTAGTTAGTGCATCTCTCAGGCAGGACTAGTGGCAGGTCTCACGGGTAGGATGCAGCACCAGCCTGGCGGTTGCCAGCAGCACTGACGTGTGAATTGGCCACAGCACAGACCAGCATGGGAGTAAAATGCTGTGCTGAAGGAAGAACACCTCAACAGGCAGATCACTGGGAGCAGCACTAGGTGAGGGGGGTCACACACAGTCAGCAACAGCGTGCAGCTCCTTGAGGAGGAGCAAGGTATTGAACAGCACTGCTCCAGGACACTCGTGCATGGGAACAGGCCTCTGTGACGTGTCCCGACTGCCCAGGGATGCAAGAGCCATCTTTGGCACATGGTTGTGGTTTCCGTGGCATAGAGGAGTGTGACAGGTCAGGCTTGTGCCTGCTCCCATCTCCAGCAAGAGGTCAGGGTGTTTGCAGCAAGGGCATCCCTTGCTAGAGCTGTAGGAAGGGTCAAGAAAGAAGGGTCTGGGAAATCTTTGTCTAAGGATAAGCCAAAGACACTGGCTCATGCGGTAAGTTTGCAGAGCTCTCTGGAGAGACGAAAAACAACCCAAAGTGCCCAGTTCCCTAGAGACAGCAGCAGTGCCAAGTGACAGAGCTGTGTCCTCCTCTCCTTCTCCCTCCTGCATCACTTGTGAGGCTCTGCGGGGCGGAAGCAGGGGTCATGCAGCTAGAAGTGACTGTTCCAGCTCCTGACGAGCTTGTCCTCATTAATAAGGAGGCATGAAAACCACTGAGCCCAGCAGGCCCATGCTGTTGCCCCTGTCACCCACCGGAGGTCGAGGCAGCACTGCACGGATGCATTGACAAGAGGTGCTGGCCACCAGCCCTGCACGCTTCAGTAGCTGGCGTCCCTGCTGGAGTGTGCTGAGCAGGGAAAACTTGTTTAATGCATAATTAATTGGGCTACTGTTATTAAATATTAAGCTCTTTCATTTTTGTGGGTTTTACTTCAGACAAGGGTTATTTCCCCCACTGTTGGCCTCCCTGTACTAATGTACCGCTGTGCCACGTCGCTGAGCGGATACGGGACCAGGCAGTGTCCCAGTACACCGTGAAACAGGGCTGAGTTGAGCTCGTGATGAGCTGTGAGCGAGCTGGAGGCTCAGGGCACTGAGCAGGGGTTGCTGGGGCTGAGCACAGTGCTTCTGGCCACCGAGCAGCACAGATGTCCCCTGTGCTGCCACCCACCTGCCCTTGCTGGCTCCCCTGGGGCATGGGGCCGTGGACAGTGGCGTGCAGTGAGAAGGGCAGCTCTTGGTGTCAGGTGAAGATCTGTGCACTCGCTCCCCTGTGAGTACCTCTGGTGTTTGTCAGCATCAGGGGGTGGTGCTGGCCAGAGCCCAGAGCCTGGGGTGTGATGCCAAGCAGCCGGTCCCATGGAGGAGCGAAGGTCCCAGTGCTGTGCAGGTGGTGCTTTCCTTTGCATCTTCACGTCTTTGTCTTTCCATTTCTGAACGTCCACAGTGATGACTGAAGGCTAATGGGATTTCTGTTCTTGCCCCGTTTCTTTTCTTTGCAGGTGCCAGTGCCCCCAGTTGCCCGAATATCTCAAGTTAGTTTTAACTCCTGTATTTATCTTTCGACACCTTTTGCTTTTTCTTTCCCTTTCTCTCTCGTCTCTGTAATTTTTGTTTCAATGTCATGAAGGTCACCCTCACTCACAGCAGACTGTAGAACGGCCGTGATTTCACTTCCTGACAGGATGCCTGGTCCCCACCGAGGCCAAGCTCGGGTACCGTTCGCACAGCGCTACAGCAGCTCACTGCCACGCAGTGCAGAAGGGAAAGCCCTGGGTGCTGGGCTGCCAGGAGGCTCCTGTGGCAGCCCTGTGCCTGCTCCCAGGACTCCTGTCCCCTCACATCATTGTGCCAGGCTCTGCCACGGTGCCAGGCCTGCTGCCGGCCCTGCATGGGGACAGGTGACCTTGGCCATTCTGGAGGGGTCAGCCAGCAGAAAAACCCTGATGGACAAAGTGAAGGGTGCTCTGCAGCCCTGGGGTTGAATGCTCTCCTCCTACCTCAGGCTTGGGCAGAGGGACTTTCTGCTCTAGCAGGTTGGGAGGAGTAGTACCAGGACTATGAGTGCAACTGCTCCTTCATCTCTTTTTGTCTTGTGAGCTTCGAGTTCACTCTCAACCAACCTTCAAAGTGCATCCTCCCTGCTGCTCAATACACAAGGTGTCTGTGTGTGTGCAGGAACGGGAGCGGTACGTAGGATAGATGCTTCCCCCAGGAGCATTGCTGAGAGCTTTGCAATCTGAGTCCTGTAGGCATTGGGAGACCTCTGAGCTCTTTTAGCCTGGTGGAGAGCTCACTGTCGTTTGGCCAGAGGCATTGGAAGAGCATGTAGAAATCCTGTCAGTGTGCACAAATCTCCTCTGCCTTGGCCTGCACGGTCTGTGACAGTTGTTCCAGCTTCACCATAATCAGCTACCAACCACCTCTTTCTCCCCTTCTGCTCTTGCAGCTCCTTTGGTGCTGCAACACTCCTTTGACCACCAAAACTGAAGTTTGGAGAGAACCCCTTGTATTTCTTAGCAGAGATGAGTGTCTGCAGCTCTGCTGTGGTCCATGCTTCATTCATGACCACGCTGGGTTAACCTCATGCTGTGGTTATCTTCCAGCCTCATTTTTCTTCCAGCCTCACACTTCTGCCTTGGTCCCACGACGTTCTCCTCATTCAATCGCTCATCAGTAACAGCTCTGCACTGCAAAGGCTGCTCCTGAGCTGCAGGAGCACCAATGATCAGCTTGTGCAGAAATCAGAGCGTTGTCTTTATGGGCCTGCTCAGCTGCCTCAGGGATCCTGACGAGTGAGGTGACAGAGGACCTCAGCGCAAGGCGAAAGAGTGATCTTCCCTTCTCCCCCTGTCCATGTGCCCTTATGCTGTCTGCAGATAGTCCTGCTGTCAAGTGATAGAAGGATGAGTGTGTGTTGGATCAGGTCTTGCCTGTATGCAGCGATGTCAGCAGCTTTTGGCAGAGGTGCGAGGAGCCCTGCTGTGCAGCGGCTGCAGTGTAACACTTCCATGTTATCACCTAGCGACTTGTCACCACCGTGTAAATGCACGTACTCGGCCCAGGGACTGCTCCGCCACCACAGTGGCCCATCACTGCCATCTGTGGCAGCGTGCAGGCTCCTGAGCGATTGAGAAGCTCCTGGCTGTGCTCCAGCCTGCTTCCCTGGGTGTGAATCAACAGCTTCAGCCTATTAATCATCATCATTACCCACGTGGGGTTTCTGGGAAACCCACAGAGCAGCCAATGGAGTCAGGAGCCTTGGGATTTGGATGTTTCACAGCCACATTCCTGCCAATTGCCATCTTGGCTTCAGAGAAAGAGGCTGTGATGGTTGAGTCCTGAATCTCTGGGCCCCAGCAGGGCACCTCCTAATCCCATGTGTGCAGCCCCACAGCACCTGACCCCTGTGCAGGACCTTTGAGATCTCCACTGGACGGGGCTTGGGCTGTGCCCCGGATGAGGCTCGCCGCCGGGGCTTTCCTGCCTTAGACAGGGTAGGACTTCTGCTGTGACGTGAGCTGCATCCCAGCTCGCAGCCACCTCCCAGAAGCTGCTGTAGGACACACAGTGGCTTGTGCGAGCCAGCCCAGTGGAGCTGGATTTTGGGTCTTGGAGCTGCCTTTGCCTCTGGAGCAGCACTGAAAAGCACTGAGTTACACATCCGTAGGCAGAGCTGCTCCTCAGCTCTCGGAAATCTGGGCAGTCTCCAACCAGGGAAGCAGCCATTCCTCCATGAGATCCTTCTTATCTTTCTCCAGCTCCTCAGGAGCTGGGGCAGCGCCTGCCTACCCAAAAAGCAGTGCAGAGACACTGCAGAGGCTTCCACTGGCGCAGATCCGGGCAAGTTTCTTTTTGGCTAATGCCATTGCTAGGGGTAAGCAAAGAGGATCAGCCTCAACTTCTGGCAGTGAGAGCACCAGAGAATCGATGTGTTCAACTTCAGCCCGTGCAGGAGCCTGGGATGCGCATTGACAGCATCTCCTCGGCCCGTTCCTGCCGAGGGGGCTTGCCCGAGCCCCTGCCCGCTGCGTGGCCTGCTCTGTGTGCCCGGTGGCTGTACTGTCCGAGCATGCTCACCCGGTCATGCACATTCTGCACATCACCTTTCTTTTTTGTTTCACCGAACCGTGTGCTCTGAGAGTGCGTGCAGCATGCCGTGTGATCTCGCCGACCTCCCATCCATCCCGCCCAGCGCTTCACGTAGTCACACATGTCCGCCTCGCGCCCACCTTTCGGGTTTGCTGTGCACATGCTGTTGTCGAGCCTTCCTCGGCCGTGCAGAGCCGTAACTGTTTTCCCTCCCTCCTCCTTGTCTCGCTCACAGGCATGCGTGACCACCCCCCTATCCCCGTGACCGACCTCGCCGACAACATCGACAGGCTGAAAGCCAACGATGGGCTGAAGTTCTCCCAGGAGTACGAGGTGAGCGTGAGAGCGTGCGGGGAGGTAGGGACAGAGCGATGCTGGCCAGGACCCCCAGCGGAGAGGGCTCGGAAGCTGCCTCCCCCACACCGGCATCGCCTGCGCGGGCCCCGAGCCAGGCCTGGGAGCCGGCCAGCTCTCCCTGCCAGCCCCAGAGCGGTGGGAACTCGCCTTGAGCAGTTGAAGCGTGGCTTGTGCAGGGAAAAGGCCTTGCAGCTGAGCACACAGCAGCCAGCCTTGCACCCACCGTGGTTGTGGTCTTAGTAGTGAATGGGAGCTCGTGTCTACCCGCCTGGGCTGTTGCTGTTTACTTTGTTGTTTTACTCCATGAGGGCTGCCCTCTGTGCAGGTTGGCTGAGGCATTTCAGTCCACAGCATCCTATGCCGCTTCACTTCCATCTGCATTCACAGCTTTGCTTTCTGCGCCATCCTCTGCTGCTGACAGACACGCATTAGGGTTTCCATTCCTGTTCTCCCACCCTACTGCTGGACTGTGCTGGCATTAGCCTGTGCCATTCAGCATCTCCGCCATCAGAAACTCAGTGCTGGTGTCCCACTGCCCTGGAGCAGTCCCAGCTCCCCTCCCTGCATGGAGCTCTCTGCCTGTGCCTGCAACCCCGAGCTGCAAACCCCTCAGCACTGCTGCGTCACTCCCACCCCTCTCCAAAACTCTGCTGGAGCCCCTGGACAGGTACTGTCCCAACCCGCCACTGATGCTGCCTTTGCTCGCACACACAGGTAGGCGCTGGGCGTTTGAACCCCAAACCCTGCACTGCACCTCTCCCAGCCTGACCCCCTCTATTCCAGTCACCCGTGGAGGGGAAGGAGCTGACGTGCACAGGGGCTGCCCTCCCTTTCTCACCACTCTCTGGCTGGATGCCTGGATTGAAAACATAAGAAGTCTGGGGAAGTTCCTCTGCAGCCGTGAGAGCAGCAGTGGCAGGATTATGTTTTCCTGTGCTTACATGCAGGACCCTCCTGAGCTGCAGGGGACTTGTAAATAAGCCCCCCACTAGTATTAAAGAGGGAATAAATTTGAGAAGTGTCCTTTGCATGTGTTATCGCTCCTGTTTGAATTGTTATCTGCCTGTGCCTGTGGCCTCCCTTTCCTGCAGCATACCTACACCGATTTATGAGATGAGATCAGAACATTTGCCCATGAGGTGGGATTATATATGCCAGGAAAGGGAAAGAAAATCTCAATGTTGAGAAGGGAAGGGATGAATTCCAGCTAGTTCAAAGGGTGTGCTGCGTGCATCTGAGGCGCAGAGCTCCTTTTTGCTTCAGGATGCCAAGTGGAGGGCTCTGCCGTCCCTCTGTCTAGAGCAGAGAGGAGCTGAGCTTTCACCAGCTACAGCATCACAACTTGAGAGACGTTTAGAGGAATAACGTGCTTCCCTTGCAGTTACCTGTGTTCATGCGTGTCCTGCCAGCGATGCCAAGGTATGCAGCGTGAATGCCTTGGGCTTTTTGTTAGGAGTCCAGCTGCAATGGTAAGCAGGGCTGTCCGCTGTGCTACCAGGAGGCCGTGCCTCTGCTGCACGCTGGGGATGCAGCAGGATCTGGTGTCTGTGCACTCCCATCCCCACACCAGGCCGGCTCCGGTTGGAGCCTGCAGTGTAACACTGAGCTGTGGGAGCTGTTTTGGCAAAAATGAGCATTAAGTAAATTCTCTTCGCTGTTTTAATGAGCCTCTCTCTTGTCATTTCTCCTTCTTTGGAATATCATGGCTGGTTGAGAGCACCAATCAGTTGTACTTTTCATGTTGAAGCAGCTATTAAGTAGCTGATTGTTGCATGTAATTTTTTTTTTCCCCTGGATTCTGCTGTGTTTGACTCCTCATCGGCTGGAAATTACTGAATGTTACAGGCTCCTACAGTGTTTGACACTAGGATAGACCCCAAAGCAGAAGTGGTCACCCCTTGTTGGCATGTGGGGGATCGGCACGGTCATTTACCATTTGAAATGCCAGTGAGAGAAATGCTGGGCTGAGTTTGCAGAGGACGCTGTGGCAATGGCTCTGCTCTCACCCTGGTCCCTGTGTGTGCAGGTTTGGCATGGCTACAGCTCCCTTTAGGGCCAGGGCTGGAGGACAGGATGGGCACAGCATGCACGGCTGAGTAAGGGAATCTGCAGCGTGGATGTGTAAATAGTGGAGGTGAGAGGGGAGCAGGGTGTGCAGCCCCTGCAGAGCTCATGCTTTCTGGCACGGGGAGAGACGGGGAACCACAGCTCAACAAATTCAGTGCAATTGCAGTCATAAAGAGATGATACAGTCCCGGCGCTGGCCCTGGGACTGCCTGAGCTCTGGACCAGCACAGAGCTGACCCAGCACAGAAAGATGGAAGCCCTGACCCCTTTTCCCTATGGCACAATAATGCTGCTGGACTGGGCATCGCACAGCGGAGCAGGGAGAGCCAAGGGACGAAGGCATCGCAGATGAACCCCCACGGCCCGTTCGCTGTTTGACCGTGCTTTGGAATAGCTGCATTTTGAGTGTTAGGCCTGGCAGCCTAACATCTCTGTGGGGTGCAGGGCTGTTTATAGATGGCTCACAGTCCAGGAGCGGTGGCACCCCAGGCAGACAGCAAATATTTACCAGCACTTTAAACCACTGAGGCCAAGCTGCCCAGAGCCATCGGTGTGGCACTTGCCTTGGTTGTGCAAGCAGTGGCAGGGTACCCTGGTCACAGGTGACACAAAACAAGACCTGTCAGCACCTCACAGGGTGAGCGATCCCAGCTGGACCCGCTGCTTTCCTGGTGCATCAGGAGAGGCTGAACTGGAGGAGCTGGGAGCTGAGCCAACTGCAGACCCGGCTGCTCTAGGGTGGGCACAGCACAGCTCTGCTGCATGCCCAGGAGAGCTGGGGGGGAGCAGAGTGCAAGGGTCTGGCAGCAGCTCCTGGCCTGGTCGCACCAGGAGAGTATTTCATTTTTAGTGTACAGTGAGAGCTACAGTGAATTTACAGCACGGGATTAATGGAATTAAATAAGTAGAAGGGAGGCCGAGTCCCTTAATTATTTATCTGCAGGCTGTGGCGGGCGCTGCAGCGGTGTTGGAGCTCCTCCTGTGGGCCACCTTCCCACGCTGCAGCCTGGGGATGTGGGGCAGGATCTTGCCCTCGGATGTGGGGGCCCACACTGGTATGAACAAGTGTGCACAGTCACAGCACATCTCACTGTGTGATCCCACTCTCGCTGTGAGACCCAGCAAGCCGAGCGCTGCTGTCCCCTGCGTTGCTATTGGCAAACCCAGGGTGGACTGGCTCCCACCAGGGCTGGTTCCTGCTCACTTGTGGCTGCTGCCGTTTCTGGGCTTGATCCCGCACCACCTTCCTAGGGGAAAATTTTTCCTTATGTCCAAACTGCAACTTGTGGCCACTGCAGTTTGGGGCCGTTGCCCCTTGTGCCCAGTCCCTTCAGCGTGTCCCTCCAGTGGACAGCCCCTGGGAGCAGCGCAGGCTGGAGGTGATGAGAGCCAGGCAGGGTGCTGCTGCCCGGCACATTAGTCCTTGATAATCTTAAGGTTATGCATGAGATTTGACTGTGCCACTGCTTCCTGGTGCGGCAGGGAGGCTGCAGCCCCTTCCACATGGTTTTGTATGGAGAGAAGCACTGCTGGCCTGCCCAAACCCCCTGTTCACTTGCATTTCCCTTAAAAAACACCGAGGATATTGCATCTGACGTGCTCCCAGCACTGGGAAGGCAGCTCAGGCACCAGGAGAGGTGCTAGGATCCCCAGGGCCGGTGAGCCCAGGAGATGCTGCACCCAGGGCCCAGGTAGCACCTGGGGAGCAGCGCGCTGTGGGTTTAATGGGCTAATTGGGAAGCTGCCCGGCAGGCACGCAGCACTCACGTTCCAGTAATAAGAATAATAAGGCTGAAGAGCTGCCAGCGATTGATTCAGGAGCACATTACGTCCTCGTTTGAGACGCGGCGCGGATTGACGCTGGTCAATGCCTGTGCTAATGTGGTTGATTTCACAGGAGGACGGGAAGCACTCACAGCCCGGATGCCGTCCCCTCCCCGTGCCCCTGTGCAGCCACTTGGGCTACGGAGCAGCACGGGACCGTGGCCATGACCGTGACCCTGCCCAGGCTGCCCAGGCACTCTGCGTGCAGAATTTTGGAGCTGCACTGAGGGGTGCGGGGCAGCGAACCCAAGGCAGAACCTGGCACCCAGGGGTATTTTCAAGGCATTTGTAAAGTGCACTCGAGTCTGTTGAGGAAAGAGCCTTTTTCCAGTCCCGTTTCAGTGGTCAGGCTCTGTCTTTCTATTGATGGCAGGAGCAGCAGGGATCCCTGAGCTGCTTTGGAGAGACTGCTCCTTGCACATCCATGCTGGGAAGGAGGAGTTTTGCTAATTGGGCTTTTTCTTAATTTGCACTTGCTGTCTTACAGCATCTCCCCTGTCACTTCAAAGGAAAGCAAAACTAAAAGTCGTGGTGCTTTTAAGTTCATTCCTGGCTCATTTCCTCCCAGTTTCCCAGCCCTTCTGCCTTCTAGGAAGAAGGGGTTGAAAGTGTTACTCAAGTTTTGGCATGAAGCAGTGATTCCCTTGAGCCCTAGAAAGGAGCAAGGGCAGACTCCCAGTGCCCAGGCACTTGTGGAGCACAGCGTGGATTCAAAGCAGTGCTGCTGTAGTGTGGGGTGGCAGAGCATCGTACGGAGATGGGACAGGACTCGCTAACCACAACTCCGTGTAAGGGCTTCAACTGCTCTTCAAGCAGCCCATCATCCTCCCGTTTATTTACTCATTTGTTTGCCTTAAAGGGGGCGAACAGGTGTACATTAATTCATCACCAGAGTTTAAATTAAATCATTTTACTTCTAAATGAGTCACTAATTTGCAGGAGTATTTAATTAGAGCCTCTTTGCACTCAGGTGCTGTATTACTTCTGACTTTCTCACCTGTTTGCCCTCTTAAGAGGCTGCTGATGATTAGACCATTTCTGCACATCCTCGTTGCACATCAAAGCAATTAACCCTAATGGCATCACCTTGATGCTTCTCCTCAGTTCTGGGGGCTCTTGGCAGCCTTGTCCCTCCCCCCAGGAGATAACCCTTTCCACCGCTGTGGCGGGACGCAGACTTGCTGTGCAAAGCAACCTGCACCCCACAGCCTGGGCAGCCCTGCAGCCTTTTGGCAGGGATTTACAGCGTAGATTGAGCACGAACTGAGCTCTGAGCATTCCCCGCCTCTGCTGCAAAGGGAGGACTCGCTCCAGCACCCCCCTGTGCCTGGCGCTGAGCAGTTCACAGGGTGCAAGCAGGGGCTGGTGGTCCTCAGTGGCAAAAAAAATGCTCACTCCTACCTCCAGGGTCAGTCTCAGCTCCATCACCAGCTAGCCAGCTCTCTGCATGGGCTCTCTGTGCAGGCTAAGGAAAAGAAGTGTTATTTCTGTCTTCAATAGATACCAGTGGATTTTCCTCCTTAGTTTGTCTATTTGTGCTTCTCCTTCAGCGTGCTCTGGATTGACTAGACTGGCATCAAAACCCCTCTCGCTCATTTCTGCTCCAGTCCTTAGATATTTTGTTCCTCTTACTTTTCCTGCCTTTGGTCATTTCTATTGCCCTTCTCCTGTTCAGCCCCATTAGCTGGGCAGCAGTCCCTGCCACACAGCGGAGAGCATCCAAAGAGCTGGTTCAGTGAGCAGCCTGTCCTGAAAACAAAATAAAGGAGCCTGAACACAATGAAGCACCCCAGAGAGCTGTGAGCTGTGCTGGGACCTCTCTGTGCCTGGGCAGAGGAGTGTGCAGGGGCTGTGGCAGCCAGGCCAGTGTGTTTCCAGCCAGAAGCGGTGCTTTCCGTCTCCACTCCCACCATCCCTGCCTCTGAGTTTTGCTGCTGCTGCCTGCTTAGCTGCCGCTGCCTGCTTATTATGCCGGTAATAGAAAATTACAGGTTTTCTGTAGGAAATGTCTATTTACATCCTACATTTCCCAAACTGCCTATTAGCATCGCTGTGATGTCACATCCTCCTGCGCATTTTCGTCGGCGCCGGCCCCTCTTGCCTGCGGGCAGCAGGGAGGGCCGGCAGCGTGGGACACGCGTGGGGACGGGTGACAGACGCCTGGCACAGCGCTGGCCCGTGCCCTGCGGGTGCCACAAAGCCCTCAGGGCCAGTGCAGCGATGCAGGCAGTGCCTGTGCTCCGTACCTGAGCAGGGTACCTGGACCCGCTGCTTGGGAAGTGCCTGCTGCACAGCGCAGGGGAGTAGGGGACGGTGATGGGCATCACCTTGCGCACAGGCGGTGGTTGATGGGGCTGAGCAGAGGGACCATGGGGGCCGTCCAGGACAGCCCAGCTGTGGAGCTGTGCTTCCCAGCTCAGCCAGAGCTGACAGACTCATGGGTGTTTTACTGCCTGGGAAAGCCTCTGCCGAGCAATGAAAAACAGTGTGACCAGCAGGTCCAGGGAGGTGATCATCCCCCTGGACTCGGCACTGGTGAGGCCGCACCTCGAGTGCTGTGTTCAGTTCTGGGCCCCTCACTAGAAGAAGGATGTTGAGATTCTGGAGTGTGTTCAGAGAAGAGCCACAAGGATGGTGAGGGGTCTGGAGAACAAGCCTGATGAGGAGCGGCTGAGGGAACTGGGCTTGTTTAGCCTGGAGAAGAGAAGGCTGAGGGGAGACCTCATCACCACCTACAACTGCCTCAAGGGAGGTTGTGGAGAGGTGGGTGCTGGGCTCTGCTCCCAGGTGATGGGGGATAGAACAAGGGGAAACGGCACCAAGCTGTGCCAAGGGAGGTTCAGGTTAGAGAGAAGGAGGAAGTTCTTTACTGAGAGGGTCGTCAGAAGCTGGCACAGGCTGCCCAGGGAGGTGGTGGAGTCACCATCCCTGGATGTGTTTAAAGAGCGGGTAGACGAGGTACTTAAGGATATGGTTTAGGGGGTAGACAGGAGCGGTTGGACGTGATGATCTCAGAGGGCTTTTCCAACCGAGCGATTCTGTGATTCTGTGGTTCCTGCAGAGAGAATAGCATGCGGTGCTTCCTCTGGCCCATTTGCTCCATGTTTTTGCCTGTGGGCCAGAGAAGCTTCAGGAACCCTGAGCTGGAGCATGATTTTAAGAAGGCTTTGTCTGTGCTGGTAATTCTGGGGGAAGGGGATTCATGGGATAACTGATTTCTGCTGTAGCTGCCAGGGGCTGTGTGTGCAGAGCGAGTCCCTGCATGAGGCAGCTCTTACCTGGGTGCCTCACGTATCTCTGAGCTGAAGAGGCCATCCCATCTCGGAGGGGTGCTTTGGGGATGACCCTTTTTCACCTTGTTTTGTGGACCGACAAAGGTGACAGGAGAAGCTTTGGGAAGGGGCTGCCTGGCCATGAAGAAGCCATAGTGCACCAGGACGTGGCTTATGGGAGGAGCATTGGGTGTGAAGCCAGGATGCAGGGGGGATCTGGATATGTGCTTTTCAGGCAGCTGCATAGCGTGCAGGCCTTTGGGCAGGATTTATGACCACGTCTCCTGTCCAGGTTTATAGTTCCTTGTCACTCTATTAACTCAAACGAGAGATGTTTACATTGCATAAGTAGCTGGAGCAGTGGATAGTAACCTATCAATTTTCATGACTATTTCCTGGCAAAAGCTCTTCAGCTGTCTTGCAGGACACTAATACCCAAAGCTCCTGGGGCACAAGACACCCAGGGCTTGCTATATTTCAGGAGACTGCAGTTCAACAGCTAATAAAACCGCTAGGTCAAGAACTGTGCGGTTAGGTCTCTGTGGAGTCCTGGCATCAGACCAAATTTCTGCTGATGTAGCTCCAGAGGAAAGGATGAGCACACAGTGGCAGTGGAAGTGAAGGCTCCTCTGCAGCAGGCTGCCCTCACAAGGGGCTGCTTTGCCTGCAGGTCACGAGAGGGAGGTCCCACTGGGGACCGGGTTTCAGTGTGGGTCTGGCTTCTTGACACCTCTGCTGGGGACACCCACAGAAGCTGCATAGGGAGGGGTGGGTGGGGAGATGCAGATTTCCGGACTGAAACACATGTGTGCTGCAGTGTCCTGCTGTGCTGTAACCGCGCCTGACTCTCTCCCTCTCTTCTCTCCCCAGTCCATTGACCCGGGGCAGCAGTTCACCTGGGAGAACTCCAACCTGGAAGTGAATAAACCCAAAAACCGCTATGCAAACGTCATCGCCTACGACCACTCCCGTGTCATCCTGACCTCCATCGATGGTAAGAGTGGCTCCGGAGCGAACACCTCAGCA